GATTTTAGAGTGAGTGTTTTCAGTTTGGGCCCATTTAATATGATATTGGCTGTTGATCTGTCATAGGTGGCTTTTACCAGGTTGAGATAAGAGCAATCTATTACAATTTTATGTAGAGCTTTTATCATGAATGAGTGTTGGACTTTGTCAAATTCTTGATCATGATTTATTTTTATCCTTGGCTCTATTGATATGGTGTATTATATCTATTGATTTCCACATGTGAAAACATTCCTACATCCATGGGATGGATTCTACTTGGTCATGGTGTATAGTCTTGATTTGCTGCATTTTGTCTTCAGTATCTTATTCAGGACTTTTGTGTCTATGTTTATTAGGGAGATTGGCCTTTAGTTAGTTCTCTTTCTTAGTTTGCTCCTTCTCCAGTTTTGGTATGAAGGTAATGCTTGCTTCCAGGAATGAATTTGGGAGTATTGCTTCCCTTTTAATTTCATTAAAGGATTTGAGAAGTAGTGGCATTAGATCTTCTCTACATTCCTTGTAGAATTCATCAGTGAATCTATCGGGGCCTGGGTTGGTCTTCATTTTTTTTTTGTTTTTTGTTTTTTTTTCTGGGAATTGAACTCAGGACCTTGCACTTGCCAGGCAGGTGTTGTACTTCTGAGCTATATCACTGGCCCTATTGGTAAGTTTTCAATTACATCTTTTGATTTTATTGATTGATATTGGTTTATTTGGGCTTTTTATGTCTTCTTGACTCAGCTTTGTTAATTCGTAGGAATCTGTCCATTTTTTTGGCATTTTCCATTTTATTATAATATAAATTCTATAGATACAGATGATCTTCTGTATTTCATCGAGGTTTGTTGTGATTACACCCTTTTTATCCCTCACTGCATGGATTTGAGCTTTTCCTTTCCTTTTTTTGTTAAGGCTGGCTAAAGGTATTACCTAATTTCTTTGTTAATTTTATTTAATCTTTCAAAGAATGAACTCTGATTTGTCAATTCGTTGTATTGTTTTCTTAGTCTCCAACGCATTAATTTCTGTTCTGATTTTTATAATTTTTCCTTGCTATGACTTTTGGATTTGGCCTGGTCTTTTGCTAGAAGTTGAGGATCAACATTAAATAGTCTAATTGTGTGTGCTGTTTTCCTGATATGGATATTCACTGCTATCAATTTCCCTCTTAAGACTGCTTTCACTGTGTCCCTTAAGTTCCAGTTTCTGTACTGCATTATTGCCTAATTGTAGAAACTGTCTAATTTCTTCTTTAACTTCATCTGTGACCCACTGGTTGTTCAGGAGGGTGTTATTTAATTTCTATTTGTTTATGAACTTCTTATGGTTTCTCTTGCCATTTAACTCCAATTTCGCTGCATTATGGTCTGATAACGAATGGGATAATTTCAATTCCTTTGCATTTACTGAAGAATGTTCCATGAGATAATATGTTGTCTATTTTGGAGAACATCCTATGTGCAGCTGAGAAGAATGTGTATTCTGATGTGGGGTGGACTATTCTGTAGACATCTACTAAGTCCATTTGTTCCAAGGTTTGGTTCAGTTCTAATATTTCATTGTTGATTTTTTAGTCTAATTGATCTGTTTTTTGTGACAGTGTCATATTGAGATCCTTGTAATTATTTGATTTTTCATGTGTGTTGATATTTGGCTTATATAGTTGGGTGTGCTGGTATTCGGTGCATATGTACTTGTGGTTGTTACCACTTCTTGGATTGTTCTCTTTACAAGGATATAGTGACCTTTGCCTCTTTTAATCAGTCTTAGCTTGTAATTCACTTTGCAAGTAGAAAAGCTATCCCTGTTTTTCTGGGTTCCTATGGCATGGAGTATTGTTTTCTACCCTTTGACTTTGAGTCTATGAATTTCTTTTTCAATTACATGTATGCAGCATGTTCTTGGTTCTTGCTTCTTGATCTATTCAGCCAATCTGTGTCTTTTTATCAGTGAATTAAAACCATTAATATTGATGGTTATAACTGATATGTGTTGATTTATTCCTGTCGTGCTATTTTCTTGTTTTTTGCTGTCCCCCTCATGTTTATATAATAGCTAAACATTAAAAACAGCCCAAATTTTCATCAACAATGAATAGATAAACATTTGGCTATCTAGAGTTGTCTTGAGTTTATGGTATATTTTCTGTCATAAAAAGGACAAATTTAAGATATTTCTAGATAAATAGATATAACTTAGGAAAATAAATTGAACACCCATTTTTAAATACTGCACTGTTTATCTGCTATGAGAAGTCAAAAGTGTAAATAGGTACCAAAATACATAGTATATGTTGGAGAATGGGATAGACTGTTCACATCAAAGTATAACAAGGTAAAGTGGAAGGGGAAAGAAAAGAATGAACAAGAAAAAAGAATTGAAGGAAAATGGGAAACAAAGCTTTTGTAAATAAGGGGAGGAAGAGTGATTGATGGGAGGGTATCTGAATGGGAAAAAGAGGAGGCAATATATATCACATACAGGTACAAATTCCCTTTGATTAATGTTATCATTATGTATATCTAAAAATGAACCAATAAATATTTTTAAAGGAAATGGGAGTTGCAAAGTTTAACACCAAAATATTTGAATTGTATAATCTAGGACCTTGTGGTCAAAGTTGGAAAATAGAATTTAAGTACTTTGACAAATGAATTGGATAATTACTTGGATTTATAGTCATGTCTTTATCAGGAAAGTCCATTCCATCAAAGTGTCTAAGAAATTCTCATTTAACAAATACCTCTTCTCCTTTTTATCTTTCTCTTTGAAGTATGATATCTCTCTAAAATAATGGCATGAAACTCTGACTCTTCCCAAAGTTGTGGACTGAAATGTGGATTCGTTAGCAGATAACCCTCCAAGAATATGCCAGACCACTGTACAGACCAGTAGTTCCTTCAAGTGGAGGGTGTTTCCTAAGAGGAGGTTCCTTGTGAACACTGGAAATGTTTATTTTATTGCTCATTCTAACAAAACTCCTGGTCCTCTTTTTTCTTTTTTTACAAGCAATAGTATCTCAACTATATTGTATATCAAAGTGTGACAATTTATGTGGATTTCCAAGGTGAATAGCTTGGCATCCACCCAAGGGATTAGTAAAGCACACTTTTAGATTTGGGTACGCAGATCATGGGGGAGTGACCTTGGGTCTATATCTGACTTCTTGCCCCTTACTCTCTACATTGTTCCCCTGTTCTGCTTCCTTGCTGCCAGAACTAACATCTCTGCTTCATCACATCCTTCCACTGTGATGTTCCTGCTTGCAAGAAACTTGCCATGGACAGAATTCCCTTAAAACATGAGTCAAATGAAGCTTCTCTAAGTGTCACTGTGGGTGTTGTATATTGGGTCTGGGCGATGGGAAGGCTGACTAATACCCAGCAGTGACATGCACTGGACATTTCTCTCACAATGCCACTGGTACACTTGTTCGGAGGAAGTGACAGAATCTTAAAAACAGACTTTAGTAACCAACAAAACTTTCTTAAGAGGTCATTCTGAATGATACAACCTGGAGGAACTAAGCTGAAAAATATTGATTCTGGAGATCTGGCCAATAATTCTGAATGAAAGAGTCCTTTCCAAATACAGAGCCCACGGCTAAATTCTGTATCTCTTCTTAATTTCCCTTCTGGCTTCAAAAACCAAACACGGACCCTAGTCCTAGATTTTTCAAACAAATCTCTGTCACCTTTAGAGTCACAAAGAGAAATCTGGTTTTATCATAGAATTCTGTAACAATATGATAATCTAAGCCAAACAAAAAAGGGGCAACTCACTATGCTTTGATCAGTTTGTATGTACATATTTGAAATAAACTATCTTCATGACTCTAGGAAATACTTGTTTGTCACTAAGAAGCTCAATATGTACTTTCTCATTTGGAATAGCAAATACCTGCAAATATATATATTTGTAGTTTAGGGAAAGGTCTACAGGGTGTTCAGGGTCTCACTGCTAGATCAGACTTATAGTGATCTCCCTGTTTACAGCCTCCCAAGAGCTAGGATTACAGGCACGCACTACCATGCCCAGTCTCAATTGCCATCTGAGCGCCCCAGGGGTGGGGCTGGCACAGCAGGCCCAGGGATTGAACCTCCAGCCCCCATACCTGCTTGCAGGTGCTTTAATATGCTGAACTACTTGGCTGGCCCTTGCAAAGAATTTTTGTATCATGAGTAATTTCACTATCTTATGTAAAGAAATCATAGGGGAACAACTTTACCTGGTACAAGAAAATGCTCTGCAGAGAGGTAACAATGTCCCCAGTAAGTGTGTTATCAGAACTGGTATCCTAGAGAACTGTGAGGTAATAGGTAAATGTTTGAGGAAGCACTTTCCTTTGAAATGCATGGAGAGTATCTTTGAAGCTCAACAGTGATTTAGATCAGGTGATACAGACTTGTTTGGAAAGGAGCTAGACAGAAGATAGACTAGACTTTGTAGGCCACATATTTCTGTTGCTAGTGCTCAGAAAGGGTGAAAGCTGTTATAGAAAATATATACATGTTCATAAATGACCAGGCTCCAATAAAACTTTATTTATGGGCACTAAATTTTTAATTTCTTATCATTTCCATATGTCCTGAAACATTATATTAAAAAATTCTGAGGCCAGGGAGATAGCTCAGTAGAATAAGTGCTTGCCTGGCAAGCATAGGGCCCTGAATTCAATCTCCAGTCCCCCACCGCCAAAAAAAAAAAAAAAAAGAAAAGAAAAAGAAAGACATTCTTCTCAACCTTGTAAAAGTTACCCTTGTCTAGCTTAGGGTGTTACAAAATTACGCAGAAACTTGTCAACAGTCAATTTAGAGAATGCACTTTGGATTAAGAAATTCAGAAAGACCAAAAGAAAAAGGATACATATATGCTATCCATGAATTCCCTTCTGCTGGTGGACACACACACACATACACACACACACACACACACACACACACACACACACACACATATACACACACTGTACATACAGGCAAATGCACATTCACTTGCTCAGCCACTTCTCAGGTTACCTGGGGAGTTCTGCGGGGAGGAGCAGGGTGAGCAGCGGGGCGAGAAGCTGTACCCAGGGTGGAAGGAAGCCTGTAGGGGGACGTAGGACATGATCTCTTCTTCAAAAAGACTGCAAAGTTAAAAAAAAAAGAGTTAGTTCTCTGTCCCCTGAAAAAGTGTCCACAAGTCAGGTAGTAGCAACAAAAGCAATTGTACTTAGATGTAGCATAATAGGCACACTCTGCGTGCAAAGTCTGTTTTATTAAAGCCCTGGTTATCCCAACAACAAATCCTCCATCAAGAACTTCATGGGACTCTTGATGCCCCTTGTGAATCCAAAGGCAATGATAGTCAGCACTTATGAGGATTGGGGAACTACTTCAGTTCCAGCTACTGGAATCTTCTAGAAACAATGGCTGTTATTTCCATCCAGCCTTTCTCAGGTAGGTGGCTATGGGTCAGGTGGTCCAGTTTGGATTCTCCCACATTATGTGAGGCACAGCCCCTTACCTGAGCAGAATGACTAGATCTGCATCACAAGACAACTTCTCAAGTCCATGATTACCCTCGGTCCGAATATAATGGATTTTCTCCCTGTAGCCAAGAAGGAAAGAAAATGAGAACAGCACACCACTGACACATAGATCAGACAGGTGAGAAAACTGTTCTGGGTTCCTCTTCTTCATTCTTGTAACGTGACTGAGCAGCCACGTCCCAGTGTTCAGTGCATTTCATGGTTCTCAGCTTCCTTTGTAAGATGCTTTGTAAAAAAAAAAGGGTAGCTTTTCCTCAGAGTCTGGGGGCATGCAACTGGGGATGGAGAACAGGACAGCTGGTGTCACAGAGCTAGGAAAGGAAAGGTACCAGGCATAGGGAGCTGCTGAAACTGCTTTGGGCTCCTGGGGCTTTAGAAGCCATAGGAGGATTGTGTGGGGAGTCTTGAGAAATCCTGTTTTGGATGAAGAGTTCTGTGCTAGTCTGGGCACAGAAATGCTGGAAGTCCAGAACAGAGAAGGGGCTCCCTGTTCAGTCAACATTCAGGCATCAACTTGTCTCGGCTTAGCTCCAGCTCCCCTACTGGTATCCTTTTCACATTCTCCAACCTGGAAACCCATTTCAAGTATAGATATGTGAGTAAGTAGCATTTATTTAAGAAAAGAAAAAAGAAGAAGAGGATCCAATATGGCCGAATAGAGGAAGAAGCATGTTGGAATTATTCAGAGAAAATAAACTAAAAACAAAGGTAATTGAATAAAAGAGGGGGGATATACACCCTGATGTCCTCTGTCCCTCTTAAACATCTGCCTTACGGGGTAAAACCACTCTAGTAAGGGGATATACATTTGCATATAAATTCTTGATTTGTGTTGGATTTTGTTAATGTAACTGTAGATCTTGCTCCTATGGATAAATATACCAAATTAATGGCTAATAGATACTAAATCAATAGTTTATCAGTTTCTAGGATGTGCTTGATGGTACTGTTATTGCTAATTGTATTACCTGAGTCAGTATATCATGCCTGTTGTAATTAATTGTTCTATTACAGTGTATG